CCCCCCCCCCCATCAAACCTGCTTCATTGCCCCATGAAGACAATAGAGGCACTCCACGTCATTTTTCGCAAAACATATAATCTCCTGTCTCTTCCCGTCAGCACGTTTTCATTCACCTCCACGAGGTGTCATTTTGCCACCAGTGGATGCGCAAACACACAATCAAACAAATCAAAAGCGACGGCGCAAAGTAAGGTGTGACGGAAAACGAGTGATTGGAGTATTGGTTATGTGATTGATGCCACAATTCTCTAATTGGCTGAGGCCTCGAGAGTTAACTGATTGTAATGGGAGCGTATTTGCTGTTAGAAGAGGTGTCTCTGTGATTTTTGGCTGTCAAGAAAAGTCAACATTCTCGTATGGGCGCGTGGTGGGCAGGTGGGGGGACCTCTCACATCTAATATACACTGAAAGAGAACAGGAAGACTACCCTAAAAGTTTGAGTAGCTGGAACAGCATTCTTACTCTTTCCTTGATTCCTTCCTTTGATAAATGTGTGAGTTGAAAGAGTGAGCAATTCCTGTCACATCCAGTTTCCACATATACTGCAGCTTTCACACTGCTTCGAAGATGCATTCGTTCTCACTTTATCACTTTAATCCAATGGGCCCATTCTACACGGGGGATTGGATTTAGAAGCTGCTGATTTGCCTGCAGCATGCTAAATCGTGCATTGCTTTAACTACAGTGTCTGCTGATGCCAAAGTCACAGAAAGACATGCTCGCAAATAGATAACCAAAAGATTCTGCTGTGTGGTATTTTTAAGCAGGCATTTATTCTGTCCCCTGAACTACCACAGTCAAAAACATGTTTGGGCTATATGTGCGTGATTGGCAGTGGATGACTTCCTTTCAACACCATAGAAACAACATTCCTAGGTGCATTTTCTTGTCCGCGCCTTTCAGACAGCTATAGCAACAGAGAAGGCGAGCTGCCCTCCTCGCTCTTTCTCACAACCAGCTTTATGATTTTTCTCTCACTCTCTGTCTCTCTTCTGATTTATCAAACACCACCTGTCTGTCAGTCTTTCAAATGCTCACAGGATTCCAGTCAGCACATCTCAGCAGAGAGATCTCTGTGTTTCCTTTATCCACCAGTAAACTCAGTCTAACCATTCTGCTCTGCCTTTTCTTCTCCTGCCAAAACACATGCATAAGTACACAGCACCACATAAACACAGACATGCTTCTCATGCCTTACCTAAGCCTTTCTCACTGCTTGTCTGTCGTGTCTTTGTGCAACCCAGATGACTTCAAGTCTGAGCTGAGGGAACAGCTTCCTCTGATTGCGGGGTCAGCAGCAGCAGGAGTGGTCTTCATTGTTTCCCTTATTGCTATCTCCATTGTTTGCAGCAGGTAACCAGATTTTCCTTTATCTTGTCTTTTGTAATACACTAAGAAGATGTTGAAAAATGTGTCACATCGTTCAAACTGTAGATTCTTTTCAAGATCCCAGTTTGTTTTGAAGGAAGTTGGAACTGCAAAAAATATACACATAGGGCATAAACCATTCGGTATGCCACGTTGGTTCTCATTGTCACTAATAATACGTACTAAAAAATCCAATAGGTGGCAACATTGCAGGTAAAATTCCACCAGACTCTCAGCATATACGGTTTGTGTCATTTGCTGTATTAATTATGTAAAACTAAAATTCAGTGGTGCGTAAGATTCCTAAAATTCCTGACATTTATTGTAATCTTCTGTAAAAACATTTATGAAACATAACTGGTGCTGATTATGCTTTGGAACTTATCGTGTAACGTGCCCTACATGTAGTCACATATCATTTATTAGTGCAGCAAGACTATCACTTGATTCAATGACAGGCATACTGAATAGTAAAGGCACGCACGAATTTGATGGAACGGGAAAGCAAAATTGTCATTTGAAATGGAATACTCAATTCCTTAGAGAACTTAACATCGCCTACTTTGCCCCGTTAAGCCAATTTCATTTTGCAGCGGTTTGTCACATTGTCACATTCACATCTTGCTCCACTTTAGATATATGAAAGTCAAATTTTCTGCAGGGCTGTGTGCAAGTTTGAGCAAGTAAAGTGTTCATCAAATGGGCCAGGCTCTTTTGATGCTGAGGCAGAGGAGACAGATGAAAAGGAGTGAGATCCTATCAAGGTCTAATTAAAAATCAGCTCATTTTCATAAACTTCATTTGCCATTTCTAACCCTTTGCAGCTGATTCAATTTCAGCCACGTCATTTTCAGCCGGTACACAAAAACACCAAAAGTAATAAGATCATGTTTACCTCTTTCATCTTGGCACCCCTCCCCCTCGCTCTCTGTCTTTCCTTTCCCAACACTCATTGCATCGTTATAGGAAAAGAGCATATTCCAAGGAGGCGGTGTACAGTGACAAGCTGCAACATTACACAACAGGAAGAGGTGAGTCTGCTCTATTACTTACAGCTGCTCTAAGTTACTGGTTAGTTACT